AAGAGCTTTATAGGTGAGGGGGAGAATTTTTGGATGAAAATGATTAAAGAGTTAATTTGTGTGTTTGGTAGATGTCCAGATGAATCACTCCGACTGTTGGGGCCTGAATTGTTTTTTGAGCTTCTCTGATTGGTCAGTTTAGTTTTGAAATTGTGTGTATCAGATCTCTGAAAGGAGATGGTGGGGATCCTGTTACCAAAGGTTGCACATGATACACAGCCCTTTATCAGTTTGGTCTTTGAATTAGGAATGTCCCTCTTCTTTTCAACAAAAATCCCTTAATTGGTGCTATACAATAAATGCATAATAGTTTGGAGAATTAATTTTCTTCCAATTTAGGTCTCTATAGTAACTGCTTAAGAATGTCCCCCCACACACAGTCCCACCCATTCTTCTTTCCGCTCCTATTTCTCCTTTTTGTTAAAGGTCATATATCATACATACTGCAAGGGTCTTCAGGAATAGACTATAATAACATGTCAATAATAATTACAACTACAATAATAATGGCACTAATTGTGCTGTTTTTGTGATCTGTACCCATGACAGAGATATTGTGTTCTTTTCTCTCTTTTGGTCAAAGGATTGCCTGTACTGAAGTATCCCCCTGTATACTTTACTTTGCCACTAGAGGGTACTCTTAACCAAATCATGGTTGGGACATGTTACGGTTAATCTAATAAAGCATTCATGCAGCATTGCAGATATCTGCAAGAGGGTTATTAATTTGTCATAATTTGCACATGCAATACCAGAATTTGATTCATTATTTATATGAATACGCCTGTGATGATTGAACTTGAGCTTGGAAAAGAGTTCTGTCAGTGTTATTTGTCAGATACATAATAATGAATAAAGTGGTTCAGCCTCAGCCCTTGGCCAGTCTTCTTTCATGTATGTAGTACATTATATCCTCTGGTGTGATGTGTTCAGGATTATGGTTTGTAATTTGCATTAATCAGCACTGTGCAGAAAGTTTTAGAATTAAGTAACATCTAACAGTGAGGTTTCAGATTGCAGCTAACTGAACACTGCTTGTGTATATATTTGACGACCTGGGAATGAGAACGGGTTGTGATGTTTGTAACAAAAAAAACACAAAAGGCCCTATCCATAGCCAGTGTTTTGTTTTTTTTTAGCTAAAAACCGGCTCATTCTACGGTAACAAAAACATGATTCCTATATTCGTGTGATTATACATATGATACATATGAATATTATATTTAATTTCTGCCAATAGATCCCTCTAAATGTTACACACTTTAAGTAAAAAGAGTCTGTCCAATCAGATTCACAATGCAGGTGCCTTACACCTTAAACCTACATTACACACCAGTCATCACATAATCTCATCTGAGAGCCTTCATCAGTTCTTCAATCAACTGCCATCGAGACATCCCTTCTCAAGTGATTTTACACAATTCACACCTTAACTCACTATCACAAGACTCCCACGTGACCTTGATGACCTCATCCTCATCTCCCATGTGACAGCCTGACGTGCACAATCCATACAGGTCTCTAGTCTGTTGAATTGATGAATGCTTGTGGATGATTGGTAATGGACATTGTTAAATGGTACCAGTTTTATAACCTCTCTTTGTTTGTTTGTTTGTTTGTCTGTTAGCAGGTTACAGAAAAACTACTTATCCCATTTTCATGAAACTTGGTGGAAGGGTGTACCTGGACCATGAAAGAACTGAAAGAAGTTTGGAGCAGATTCGAATCACATGGCGTATACACAAATTATTTTTAACTTTTGTCAGCATTGTGAGACAAGTTGAATGTAATTCAGACACATATCATGTTTGTGCTTGGAGATTTGTATATCATAGAAGACTGGACTGCCTCTGTGGAGGCCTGCGCTCTCCAACTGCCCTTCTAGTTGCACTCATGGTTTCAGACAGGTGAAAATTGAAGTCAGGTATGATTCAAAGGCACAAAGTATAATATATTAACTGACATAACAGTAATAAAAAGTGACTTGTGTCCACTGAGAATCCAGAAACACGGAGAATCATTATCCCCCC